TTTTCTGGCCGGCAGAGGGCGGTAACTGACAGGAGAAAAAGATTTGACGGCAAAAAGGTCAGGCTGTTTTCTAGGGCAGGGAGGAAGGGTTCAGGAACTGACCTGGTGCTGACACCCAATGTGGTTGCCTGTCTTTACAGCTTCCCACAGTTAGATTTGGGGAAAGCTGCTAGGTCTTGTTCTTGTTAGACATCCCAGGGGTTGGCTAGTCATGAAGTTCTGCTGGATTTGGGGCGCTGACGGTTCTGGTGTGCTTAGGCTTTTTAACCTTGCCGTTGCTATCTAAAAGCCCCTTCTTAACAGTTGATGGAATAAACCTGACTGAGTTGTCCCCTAAATCCCAGGTGTCTTGGTCTGCCTGGGGCTGGTGCCTGATGGAAGGTTGGTCACAGAGAGGAGCACTTAAGGGCATTGCCTGCAAACTGCGGTAAGAATTCTCTCCCAGCACCCTGTGCCCTCTGGGACTGTCTTGCCCTTTAGTGCCGACCTCAGCCTCGGATTGAGGGGCAGCTGCACCTGGCTCCCTTGACAAGCTCTGTGTGGTGTGAGGGTTCTGGGGAAGAGGGACTGATTTCTGGGTACCCCCCAGGTCAGAGAAGGAGCCAGCTGTCCTTCAGGCACCCCCAAGGAAGCCCAGCACTGGAAGAGATCCTGGTATGCTGACTCCCCCAAACTTCACCCCAGCTGCCTATCCTGCAGGCCAGCTGGGATGCCCCTGAGCTGGTGGCCAGCTGGATAGGGACAAGAGAGCAGTGTGCAAGAAACAGGGGCTCCTTAGGCAGGGCCTGGGGCTGGAGCAGGAAGGACTTCCTGCAGCTGTCAGGTGTGTCTGCGGGCCAGAGCGAGGAAAGTCTTAAGAGCAGCTGGCGCCTTCTAGGAGGGTCAACTCTTGGGATGTAGGGGCTGCGGGGCTTCACAGAGTGTCCCTAGCCCCTCAGCTGAGGCTGTTGTCTGTGGTGGGGTGCTTTGTTGGACAGAGCCTGCAGGGTGAGGGAGTCCCTGCAGCAGTCTCAAGTCATGTTGGTCGGAATGGTTTTGGACCTGGGCCAGCTGGCCTGACGCAGTGGCACCCCAATGTGGGCAGGAGACGAGGCCACCCCAAAGGAGCGGCCCGAGAGCCTTTCCCCACCCTGGCTTTTGGCTGGGCTGCCCCATGCTGGCAGGCTGCCAGCTGCCTATTTCCGTCAGGCACCAGGGAAACAGGGCCACATTAGGGTCTGAGCCAGGAGACACTCAGCCAAGGCTTTGACTTGCTGGTAGTAGTAGGGATCTCCAGAGATCTGTCTGCAGCGTCCAAGAAAGACTGGAGTCCAGCTCCCCAGTCCAAGCAGTGTTCTAGCCTGCACAGCCTCAGACAAGCCCTTGTGGGCCTGCAGCCCTTCTTCTCCGTGCTCTGGGAATCACGTAGCTCCCACCCTGCAGTCCCAGGAACTGTCTGCAACCATGAGGCTGCAGTGGAGGCAGAGACAGGGGGCCTTGTGTATGGGGAGGCAGCCCCCCCCCCCGTCCTCTTGGCAGGGATTCAGAAAGGTCCTTTTTCAGCCAGTGTCAGAGCTGCTCAGCTGGGGAAGGAGGGAGGAGGAGGAGGAAGGCGGTCCAGTCGGGTGGGGGAGCCAGGGAGTTGGGCTGGAGCTGTGACCACTGCCCAGAGAGAAGACGGGACGGGACAGAGGACTCAAGGCTGCCCAGCCAGGCCTGCGGCAGCACAGAGGGGCCATCCTGTTCTTCTGCCTCATTTCCCACCCCCACGGTGGTGTCTCGGGGACTCACTTCAGCCAGCCTACATCTGAACAGAGCATAAAGCTCAGGAGTGGGGCCCCTTGCTTGGCCACTTCCTGGCCCGTGGCCCCACTGACCTCCCGAGGCGGTCAGTTCTGCGGAGATGCCTGCAGCTCGCCGCTTCCCTGGCCTGGAGCTGTCGTTCCCTCTCCTAGCCAGGCTGCGGAGGCGGCTGTACACAGTGAGTGTTACTGGCACCGGTCACTGAGGGCAGCGGGACAACGGGTGGCTGAGGGACACCTCATGGCTGGGCTTGACTTGGGGCAGAGTGGCCTTTCTGTTCTGGCCGCCTGTTCTTATTGGAATGCATGTTAAAAGGTGTGTGTGGGCGTGTTCACATGTGGACACAAGTGTGCAGACACTGTGCACCTGGGGCTGGAGACGGAACCTCAGGAGGCTGCAGCCGGGTGTGCACTTTGCAGAAGGGGAGTTCAAGGAGGGGAACTGGACTCATCTCAGCATCCTTCCCATCTTCTCATCCCTCCATGCAGCAGCCCTGTTCTGCAGTTGGAGAGCAGGGAGGGGCTGGACTGTCTGAGTAGCTTTGGGGAAGGGGCCTCTGGGTGGCCCCCAGCACTGGCCGCCAGGATGTGGCTTGGAGCTGCTTGTAGTGCCCAGAGCAGGACAGGCTTGAGAGCCTGGGACTGGGCACAGGCCAGGAGAACACAGCTCCTATGCTCTGCTTGCCTTGGTGGGGATCTTTGCTGAGCCCCATAGCCAGCAAGGCCAGGCCCTCTTGCTGCAAGACAGAGCACTGGCACTGGAAATGCTGGCTGGCTCCACCTGCCCAGCCATGAGCTTCACAGTGTACCTCTGAGCTTTATTCTGGGAAGCACAGGGCACCAAGCACTTCAGCCCTGTTGCTGCTACTGCTCTTCTACTGCTGCTTCTCTCTCTCTCTTTTTTTTTTTTGGTACCAGGGATCAAACTCAGGTCCTTGTGCTTGTGAGGCAGGCAGCAGAACCACTGAGCTAAATCTCCAGCCCTCTTTTTTTTTTTTTTTAAATGGTTTGGTTGAAGATAAAAGTTAAGACAGCTGAATGTTTGTAACTGGCATATAGTGAGTATAGCTGGAAATACTAGGTATTATTTGTATTGTTACCCTGTGTGTAGAGTCAGTCAAGGGAAGTAGCATACAACACTTCGTGCATTCTGACCTGCCCATGGCCCGAGTGACAGGAGGAAGTGGCCAGACCCCAGGGCTCAGGCGGGACAGCACGGGGCAGCACATACCAGTGCTGACGGGAGTTTGGAAATAAGGCTGTTGCTTTCACCAGTGCTTTTCCAAAGAGTGTACTTGTGCTATGTTCTCAATAAACCAAAGTTCAGTTTTCCCTTAGTGTCCCTAGTACTATTCCAGGAAAATTCGGTGCATATTAAAACCACTAGAATATTTTCTTGTTCACATAGCAAATGGAATTCAACTCTGGCATGGATAAGCATAAACAAGTTTTCACCTGTGTGAATTACATTGCGTGGGATTTGGGATAGTGTTTAAGACTGTCCTGTACCTTACAGGGAAATTCTTATCCCCCGCCACCCACTAGGAATGCTGAGTCCTTCTCACTGCCAACCATCATGATGATCAGAAGTGTCCCCAAGTGGGGCATGACACCCTCCCAGAGAACCGTCCTTGTAAAGGGTTACAGCTTAAAGCTTGGAACCCCCAGCTGGCCCAGTCACCTTGGTGGAAGAGCCAAGGTTTGAAGGGAGCACTGCTCATGGCCATTTGTCAGTCTTTGTGCTATCCTGAACTGCCTGGGAAATGCCGGGCTTTGGGCACTGTGCTGGCAGGACCACTGGGAACCGCAGCGGGAGGCTTCTGCTGGGCCCAGCTGCCAGTGCCCACCTCCCTAGGTGCGCACCGTCATGATAGGAGTCAGGGTGAGGCTGCCTTTCGGTGTGCGATGGAGCGCACTCAGCCCCAGCTGGGCAGCTGGCCTCTTCCTCTCGCCCGTCTTCCTTGGTCAGTCTGGCCAAGCCTCAGCTTTGGGCTGGGACCGGGTGGATTTGGTGACCGGTGGGTCAGGCTGCTTAGCTGGAAGGTGCCACTGGCCTCTCCTCTGGACCAAAGAGGGTGAGGGCCAGAAATCACTCGCTGGAGGGATGTTCAAACTTGAATAGTTGACACCATTTAAAGTCTGGAGAAAGATGTAAGTTAAATGAAAGCGAGAAACAGAATGGACGGGATGGATAATGTGAATGTGTACAGGATAAATCTCCAAGGGGCACATAAAGGACATTATTGGAGCCAAGCGTGAAGGCGCACGCCTGTAATCCCAGCACTCAGGAGGCTGAAGCAGGAGGATCGCCATAAGTTCAAGGGCAGCCTGATCCACATAGTAAGACCCTGTCTAAAAAACAGTATGGGCAGCAGCTGGCTCTGGGATGAGGAGCTAGACTCCTTGTGCCTTTTGAATATTTTACCATATACCTTTTTTTTTTTTTCTATTTTGGTACCAGGGATCAAACTCAGGACCTTGCGATTGCAAGGCAAGTAAGGTGCCACTGAGCAAAATCCCCGGCTACCGTGTACTTAAAAAAAAAAAAAAAATTGAAGACCAGATTTCACATATGAATTCAGACGTCTGTCTATCATTGAAAAAGTAGAATCTTAACACAGGGCCAGTCTCTTATGACAGCTGTTAGCAGGAGCTTTGCTTTGCATTACTTGGGGTGTCTGGAAGCCCACTCAGCTCCCCACCATCTTGTCTCAGCCTTGGTGCCCTGTGGGTACCTGCTGGTGGCCTGCAGAGTGGTCTTTGGATTAGATGTCATGCCCTGGGACATCTGTCTGATCTGAGGAGCCCATGGATGGGTTTCAGGGGACATTCTAATTTGAATTTTAGCAGTAAGAATGTGTTTGTCTTCCTGGGGAGATAATTGATGTTTTTAATGAAGTCATCAAAGGGTTTGTGGTGCTGGAGGTGTTAAGAGCAGGCAGGGAAGCTGCACAGAGCGGTTGATGTGAGGAGTGAAACCAGCCCTGGCTGCTTGGGATCAGCCCTAGGTCTTGTCTCAGCCGCCCTCCGTCTGCCCTGCCGCCCTGACGCTTACAGGAAGGAGGGAAGTGTGGTCAACTGTTTTGCGGAACAGGAAGGTGTATTGAGCCCTCTCAGGCAGCCCCACTGTATTGTAAGTGTTGGGAGTCAGTGCCCTGGTGGCAGGCCTGCCAGCCCAGCCCAGTCCGGTCCCTGAGCCCTTCTCCCGTCCCTCTGCAGAGGCTGGGGAGCAGCAGCATGCAGCCCGAGGAGGGCACAGGCTGGCTTCTGGAGCTACTGTCTGAGGTGCAGCTCCAACAGTACTTCCTGCGGCTCCGTGACGACCTCAATGTGACCCGTCTGTCCCACTTCGAGTATGTCAAGAACGAGGACCTGGAGAAGATTGGCATGGGCCGGCCTGGTAGGTGGGACCCTGGCTTTGCTGTCTGTTCCTTCTGATCATTTACCTCCTCTGTTCCTGGATGGCTGGACACATGGGAGAACCTGCCCCTGTGACTCCATGGTTGGCAGATGGGCCCTGCCTGCCCGTCCCAGTCCCTGAGTGGGGGGAGGGACAGCTGTGGATGCTGCCCATGGGGTGCTGGGAACTTGTGCAGATGTGAAGGCAAATCAGAGTTTTGAGGGCTTGGGATCTTACAGCTCTAGCTCCCTAAGACTGTCTGCGCCCTTTGTCTGATCAGACGCTTATGCAATGTGTTTCCTCCTCTCCCCTCTGTAACCGGAGCCCTGATACTGCTCTGCTGTCCTTTCTGAGCACCAGTGGGTCGATGCCCAGAGAACTTTAGGGGAAAGAAGAGAAAAGCTCTCCGTTGGCTTCTCCCTCCCTCCTCTCCCGCCTCTTCTAATTTCTTTGTGTTGGAAGAGCAGTGGTTGTAGCACCCAGAAGTCTTGGTGTTCTCATAGAACAGTAGAAACTTACCAGTGTCAATAATCTGTTAGATACCAATGGATGCTACTTTTGGCCTGGATCCTTAATGTCTGATGGCAGTAGCATAAGAAAATTCACAGGCAACTCAAAATTGAGAATTATTCTATCCATTGCCTTGATTTTTCTGGAGAGTTGGAGAGGACCAGTACTATTTAATTTTGATGAGACTCCCATCTAGTTGGAGGACCACTGTGGGAAACGGCTGCCACGAGTATCTGCTGAAGAGGAGCCCTCGCCTCACCTGGATGGGACTGGTTTAGTTGGTGTCCTGTACTGGGCAGCGTCTAGTGTGGGCCATGCAGGGGACCTGGGAAGCTGCAGGGTGGGCAGCGGTCTGGGCGCATGTGAGCCACCCACAGTGCCTGTCCTTTCTCTGCTCTGCACAGGCCAGCGGCGGCTGTGGGAGGCTGTGAAGAGAAGGAAGGCCCTGTACAAGCGCAAGTCGTGGATGAGCAAGGTGGGTGGGGTGGTCCGGGATCCTGTGTGGCAGTGCCAGGCGCCTCGCCCTCTCCTGGGCAGGTGCGCTCTCACTGTGCCCCTTTATATTGTCCCGGGCCTTCCTCCTCCGGGTCTCACCAGGCTGAGTACTTGTGTGGCAGCGGTCGCTTGAGTGTCTTGCTGGGGATGGCCATGTGAGCAGCCTGGGTGCCTTCCCAGCCTCGCTGTGTCTGCACACTGCAGCCAGTGTCAGGCAGGGTGGTGGGGCCTCCTGGCCAACTGCCTTGGTCCCCTGCCCTAGGCTCCTGCTCTCTGAGCTGCTCTGGTCATCGGCCCTCACCCCCAGCTTCCTCCCCAGCTCGCCACCACCTTGTCCTAATTTGGGTCTGTGGTGTAGCATCCCTGGTCTGACTCAGTGGAACTTTGCCCATTGTCTGGAAGACAATGAGGGAGGAAGTGAGCCAGTCGGCCTCCCTCCCCACTTGGGGCCCAGTTGGGGGAGGGAGGGACAGGGCAGAACAGCTGGCGGGGATTGGGCAGGAGCGCTTTGCTGGTCCAGCCAGCAGAGGGGCTGTCTCTTAGGATCTGGTGGCCTTTCTTGGGGACACAGTGTTGGTCTCTTGACCAGGTTTCAGGCCAGGTTTCAGGGAAGGATGAGTGTGTTGGGGCCGGCAAAGCCATGAGAGCATCAACATAGGGTGCCAGTTCTGATCTGTTGCTGGCTTGCAGGAGGCCTCTGGGAGGCCAGTACCCCCTCCCTGGCCCAAGTCACTGCTTTCTTAAAGTGTCGCTGGCTTCACTGCCCAGCTCACCTTGCAGAGATGAGACTAGAAAGGGCCCTGCCTGCAAACACAGGGAGCTCCATTATGGGGAGGAAGGGTGGAGCAGAGGCCCCCAGATTTGGGATGCCTCTCACACCCACTGAGGGGACTCTGCTGCCCTTAGGGGTAGAAAGAGTGAGCTGCATGAGGCCCAGGCTGCCCCAGTGCCTCCATGGAGGTGGCCAGCTCATGGCCTCTCCCTCCTGTTCCTCCACCTTTGGCTCCACCCTAGCCAGCCCAGGCCTTGGCATCTCCCCTAAGCCCCCTATTTTCTCAGCCTTCAGGGCTTGGCGTCCTTCCAGAACTGCAGCTGTCTTCCCAGGCCCAGCAGCGACACACATAGCTTTAGCCTCTGACTAAAATTATCCTCTCCCCAGGGTGGATGAAGGGCAGCCGACTCCCTGGGGAGGGGAGACAGACAGCACCAAGTGGTCACCTCCAAGAAGGGGCCAGGGCCAAAAATGGACAGGGAGGTGTTTGCAGGGAGGGCGCCTGGGCCCCTACCCCATCTGTGTGGCTCCAGGTTGGGATCTGTGCCTCGTGGGGCCCAGGAAGGGAGGAGCGAGTTGGAGAGCAGGGCCTGGAGGGCCCTGGGCTGTCCCTGTCCATGGCTGGGTGGGGCCGTGGCTGCCTGCCCTTCTCCCGCTGAGGCCTTGGCTCCCCTGGGGCTGTGCGCTGGAAGGGGCCGGGTCTCAGCAGCAGAGCCAAGGCGGGGGCGGGGTAGTGGGGCGGGACTGGGACTGAGTGAGCTGCGCCCTGGCTTTCACCTGGCCCCTGGCTGCCTCCAAACAGGTGTTCAGTGGAAAGCGGCTCCTTTGCTCCCCTGGGGCTGTGCGCTGGAAGGGGCCGGGTCTCAGCAGCAGAGCCAAGGCGGGGGCGGGGTAGTGGGGCGGGACTGGGACTGAGTGAGCTGCGCCCTGGCTTTCACCTGGCCCCTGGCTGCCTCCAAACAGGTGTTCAGTGGAAAGCGGCTGGAGGCTGAGTTCCCCCCTCACCACTCCCAGAGCACCTTCCGGAAGCCCTCGCCTACCCCCGGGGGCCCCGCAGTTGAGGGGCCCCTACAGAGCCTCACCTGCCTCATCGGGGAGAAGGACTTGCGCCTCCTGGAGAAGCTGGGGGACGGCTCCTTCGGCGTGGTGCGCAGGGGAGAGTGGGATGCGCCCTCCGGCAAGACGGTGAGCTCTGCTCCCTCCCGGGGCCGCCAGGGGGAGCCCTCCCCACGGGTGTGGACGCGAAAAGCTGGCTCTCCCGGCAGCCCACTTTCAGGTTTGGAGGAAGCGGAGTCAGCATTCCTACCTCTCCCCACTCGGCACTTGGTTGGATTTAGTTAAGGCACATTTGGATGTAGCTCTTCCGCTCTCTTGCACGCTTCCTTCGGGCTCACGTGCATACGCTAGGCACAGTCAGCAGCTTTACATGTGTGCAGTGTCTGCCTGCCCTGAAGGTCAAGGGACAGAGGGCCTGTGCAGCTGGGTGTGGTGGAGCACGACTCTGATCCCAGCACCCCGGAAAGCTGCCTCAGGCCGCTCCCTGCCACTCAGCATCCCCTTCCTCCAAGGGAGGCCGCTGTTCCCTTTGCTAACACCATGGAGTCTTTGGTGTTAGATTTATCACAGCGCTAGTGTCCTTTTGTCACACCTGCATCTCTTAGCTCTTCTTTGCTGCTTAAACTGGGCATTGCCCCAGGAAGGGGAGGCCCAGCCCACGGCCTGCAGAGTCCACCGGCTGCCTCCCCCAGCAGGCCTCCCAGCACAGGCACTGTACTCACCCCCAGGTTTGGGCAGAGCTGAGGCAGGGGTCTCTGGGCTGTCTTGAGGAGGAGCAACTTGGCCTCAAGAACCAGCGCCAGGTGAGACCTCAGCCTGCACATCCTGCCCAGCAGGTGAGTGTGGCCGTGAAGTGCCTGAAACCTGACGTGCTGAGTCAGCCTGAGGCCATGGATGACTTCATCCGGGAGGTCAATGCCATGCACTCTCTTGACCACCGGAACCTGATCCGTCTCTACGGTGTGGTGCTCACGCCACCCATGAAGATGGTGAGTGCTTGGGAGCCTGAAGGGCTGGGGCTGAGGTGGGGGCAGCCCCCACATCCCACTGTGCTCCCCCACCTGAGGGGCAGAGGGGCTCATGGGCCTAGTCGGGTACCGCCGCCTGCCTTTCACAGAGCTGTACCACGGGAGGGGCTGGCCCTTGCGTTCCTGCTGGGAATTTCTAGCCTGAGTCTCCTGGAGCAGCTTCTGTCTGGGCCTGTTTCCCATATTGCTTGGAGGGAGAGGCCTGGGATCGGCTGCAGGCCTAGGGCTCCTACAGGTCCCTGGAGGTCAGGTCAGGAAGGAACACTGAGGATGTCTGGGCAGCCTTCAGGAGTGGCACCAGGAGCCCACACTGGCTCCTCAGACGCACTCCTGCCATCTGTGTGGCCTCAGGTGACAGAGCTGGCTCCCTTGGGATCCCTGTTGGACCGGCTGCGGAAGCACCAGGGTCACTTCCTCCTGGGGACTCTGAGCCGCTACGCTGTACAGGTGGCTGAAGGCATGGGCTACCTGGAGTCCAAGCGCTTTATTCACCGTGACCTGGCCGCCCGCAATCTACTGCTGGCTACACGTGACTTGGTCAAGATCGGGGACTTTGGACTGATGCGAGCCCTGCCCCAGAATGACGACCACTATGTCATGCAGGAACATCGCAAGGTGCCATTTGCCTGGTGAGGGGCAGGTGCTGCTGGACCCCAGCCAGGTCCAAGCTGACCAGGCTGTGGATTTCGGGGGCCTCCGTATACATCACTGGTTCTCCTGGTCCTCGTGTGCCCTTCTCACCCACCCATCTGTTCCCCATCTGTCCAGGACTTCTTGAGGGGTACTCTAGGGCCCAGGGATAAAAACTGTGGGCCAAAAAGATGTGCTGCTCGGCAGGGTATTAAAAGGCTTCCTGAAGGACTCGATATTCAGCCCTTTGGGTGTCAGGAGTGTAGACTGTGGAGCACATTCTCGGAGAGCCAGTGATAAGCTGTGGAGAGCATGGTGATGGTAGTCATGCCCAGATCTGCCCTGGCCCTCTGCGGTTCATCTGTGCTGAGATCATTGTGGTCCCTCGGGGGCTAGCAGCACCCAGAGAAGCATGGTCTTTCCGGTGGGAGGAATCCATGCACTTCTGCTTGCCTTGTACCCTAGGCTGTGTGCGCACCCTACTTAATAATGCACTCTGCTCCTGGGTGACTCTGTGTCCTGAGTTATGCCTGTTGTCCCACGTTTATATTCAGGTGTCCTGCTTGAGTTAGTAAATTATAAGGCCTCTTTGTGAATAATACAACCTCTGAAACAGCCCTGTGGAGTGTGCAGGTTATTGTTCTATTTCTTAGGTGGGAAAGTGAATGAAGCTCAGAGGTCTTGAGTGAGTGTGCCTGAGTCCTGTTCCCTTTGAGGCACATGAGGGCCCACAAGAAGTCTTTTTCTTTTAGGTTTTTTGAGACAGGATCTTGCTGTATAGTTCAGGTTCACTTGTACAGATGGTCTTTTGATTCTGTTTGCAGTGCATGTTTCTCCCCCCATCTCAGCCCACCTCAGGATGTCCCTTTCCTAACCTCACCAGGAGGGGCCCCAGAGCAAGGGTGCACTTAGGTAAAGCCAGAGTGATATTTCCACTCGTTTGGGTTCTTCCCGAGATCCTATGTGAATTTCCTGCCCACGCCTTCCCGCTGAAATGACCCAGATCTGGAAGTTGTCATCCTCCTGCCAGACAGAAAACATCCTGAGGCCTCACCCCCTACCACCTGACCTGGAGCTTTTGGCCTCTCCCAGCTTCCCTGACCAGCACCCCCAGCCCCCAGCTGTGTGTGAATGAGCCCTGGGGTCCACGGTGTTCTCCAGGGTCAGGATGCCCTGCCCATCCTCCCCAGTCCCATGCGTGGGGCAGTGGGAAAAGCTTGTCCAGTGAGGGTTCCATGTCCATGGGGGCTGACTCCCGCATCTGCCAGGTGCGCCCCCGAGAGCCTGAAGACCCGCACCTTCTCCCATGCCAGCGACACTTGGATGTTTGGGGTCACGTTGTGGGAGATGTTCACCTATGGCCAAGAGCCCTGGATCGGCCTCAACGGCAGCCAGGTGAGGGGCCGTGCCCTCTAGGGGTGAGTGGCGTAATTCTTTCCCGGCTGCCACTTTGATGGTCACCTGAATGACCCTTTGTTGCCCACACCTGGTATTTGCCTGACCCCCCCAGGTGACTGAGCAGAGAAAGGCCGCCTAGGGGGCCAGGGGAGGGAAGATTCCGGGCCACTCATTCCCTTCTGTGGCCCACCTGGGCTGACACCTGGCCTGGGAACTGGGTCTGAGATGGTGGTGTGGCAGCCAACACATTGCCCAGGTTGGAGGACACGCGGGAGGTGGAGAGCCAGCTGAGCACACCACCGTCTTCCTAGATCCTGCACAAGATTGACAAGGAGGGGGAGCGCCTGCCGCGGCCCGAGGACTGCCCCCAGGACGTCTACAATGTCATGGTCCAGTGCTGGGCGCACAAGCCTGAGGACAGACCCACGTTTGTGGCCCTGCGGGACTTCCTGCTGGAGGTGAGGGGCAGCCTGCTTATGGGTGCTGCCTGAGGTCAACCCGGGGCAGACATAATGGGTCTCCACCTGCAGGCCCAGCCCACTGACATGCGGGCCCTGCAGGACTTCGAGGAGCCAGACAAGCTGCACATCCAGATGAATGATGTCATTACTGTCATCGAGGGAAGGTAGGACAGTGCCTACTGCAGGGACCCTGTGATGGGTACAGGCTGGAGGGGCAGAGACAGATCGCCCCCGCCTCCTGGGGTCGCATGGCAGCACACAGGCTGGTGGTGACAAGAGAGGGTGGGGCAGGCGGGCTCCTGCGCACTGGGCTTAGGCCCGGGTTTGCTGCCCAACTGGCTCCTCTTCCCCACTTGCTCCAGCTGCCACATCTGGGCTGCCACATTGTGCTGGCCTTGGGGCACAGCAGAGCAGTGACCCCAGCATCCTTCCTTTTATCCTCCCCTCTGCCTTCTCCCTGCCTGCCCTGGTGGAGGACTCTGCCCAACACCTGGGGCCCTGTAGCACCCAAAGCAAGCCCACACCTTTCCAGGCCACCCTCATCCACTTCCGGCCTTTCCGTCCTTCCTACCCCTTGGCTGGGTTGCTCTCACCTGGGCCCAGGCCTCTGGGTCTCCCCTGGTGGGGTCCTGTCTGTCCCCGAGTCCTCAGTTCCCAGCACCCTCTGTCATCTGATCCCCAGGGCTGCTGAGGACTAGTGGGGCTGGGTGGCTGGAGAAGCCTTTGAGGCAGGGGTGAGCTGGAGGACCTAGAAGAAGCGTGCAGCGGAGAATCCCCAGGGGCGCCCTCTCAGGCGCTGGTCGGCCTGGCGGCTTTCACAGAACATTTCTTCCTGCTCTGGGGCTCGGGCCTGCAGGGTATTAAGTAAAGCCCACATCAGCCTGGGAAGCTAGGTGACAGGTGTGGGCCTTACCTGCACCCACTGTGGCCCTGTTCCTAGCCCCAGGACTGAGAATGGCGTGCCATTGGGTGCCAGGGATGGGTATGGTTCCAGAGTACCTGGTGGGAGAAGAGAGAAAGCTGCTTGAGACCAGTGTGTGGGTGTGCAGGAGAGGGGAGAGGAAGGGCTGTGGGGGTGGCACCCTGGGAGCAGTCTGGAAGCAGGAAGGTGAAGGGGGCCTGGCAGAGCACCCTGATCGCCAGGAGCCACATGCTCCAGGGGGGTGACTCCGGCTTCCTGTGTCTGGGGCTGGTGTCCTAGGTCACCAAGAGCAAGGTCGGCCGTGGGAGAGCCGGAGAGTGGCTCTGTGCAGACCGTCACAGCTCGCCTTGTCCTGCCTTCAGTCCCCAGCTCTGGTTGGCTCTGCTGCTGGTTCTGCCTCCAGCTCCCCCTGCCCATGGTTTAGCTCTCAGCTTCCTCCTCCCTGGCCACCAGCCTGCCCTGGGTCCCTGGAGCTGCTCAGGAGAGGGGAGGTGAGGGTGAGGAGGCCACGACAGCCGGTGAGGATGGAGTGGGCCCATGTGTTGGTGGCAGCGGGGCTTTCACTCTGCCCTTCTGTTCTCGGTCCTGAGCATCAGCTTGGTGAGCCATCTCCACCTGTGTGTGGTGTGTGCTGTGTCTGCTTCTCTGGCTCCTGCTCTTGGGTATCTTCTCATCTCAAGCCTGGAAACTGCCTGTGCCCGGCTCCAACTTTTCTGGCAGCTTCGTGCTTCTTGGTGCACCGGGTGGTGGGCAGAGCTCAGCCGGGAGGCTGTGTCTAGATGAGAGGGACACAGGATGCCCAGTTTCTCGTAGGTCTTGCTTATGAGAGGAGGTGGCTGGCAGCCCTTCTGCATCCTGTTTTTATGGAAGTGGTGAAGAGGCCAGAGGGTTTGACATCCATCGCAGGGCCTTGTCCTTGTCCTGACCCGGGGCCTCTGCTTCCTATGTAGATGAGGACACCAACGGGCTGAGGTGCCCTTTGAGGAAGGAATAGCAGCAGCCTGAGCTGAGAAGGGTGTGCAGTGGCCCCTCGAGAACCAGGGAGGCCAGGGGAGGGAGGCTCCAGGTCCAGGCTGGAGGGACTGGGCCCTCGCTCACTCCCCCAGCGCCCTGCCTGTTTGCTTCAGAGTGGCGAGGGCCGTTGCTTGGGGACCCCACTGTGGGGGGCAGGCTGGTGAAGAGTCAGGCACCCTGGGCTGCTGGGCCTGCAGAGCCCGCGTGGGCAGTGAGCTGCAGCTCTGTCTGGCCTTCCCCGGGGAGAGGGTGTTTCTGTGGTGCCTGGTTACCCCCAGGGGCTCTCCTCCGTGGGCTGGGGCTGGAAGCCCTTGTGGCCCTGGGTTCAGGCCTGGACTGTGCCTGTGACAAGGGCAGGGTGTTGGTGGCACCTGTCACTGTCTAACGTGGCCAGAAGGAGGCCTGCTGGTCAAGGGAGGGGTGGGAAGGTGAGCTGCCAGACCCAGCCTTGCTGCATGCAGGGCCTGGGAGGACGGCGGGGCTGTGAGGCGCTTACCCTGGGAGCAGCATCTGGGGCCCGGGCTGACTTCCGCGGCCCGCGGCCCTCATGGTGGCCTGTGTGTGGCAGGGAGCCTTTCTCCTCCTCGGAACAGCCCTGCTATTTTCGGGTGGGTCTTGTCCCTTCTGGGGTGTTGTCCTGGCTCCTTCCTTCCTTGCCCTCCCTACCCTCCAGGCAGGGTATAGTCACAGGGTGTGTCTGCCGAGGGACTGGGCGCCTGTCATCTCCCAAAGCACTGCTTCGTAGGGGGTCAGGAGCCCCAGGCAGGGCCCAGGTGCCCAACCCCTCTTTCCTCCATGTTTGCTGTCCTCACTGGCCCGTTGCATCTCCGAGGACTCTTCTGTGTGCTTATGGCTTTGGGGCGGGTGAAGTAAGGGTGAGGGCGATGAGGAGCACAGGCAGCCTGGTGGCACACATGTGCCAGCAGCGTGACACTGCCGCCACTGTGCCTTAGCCCGGACTGCCCACACTGCCGTCATGGTGCAGTTCCAGCAGCGGGGGCGGGAGCCTCAGCCTGAGTGTGGCGGGGAGACCCTGTGCTTCTGTCCCGCCTCAGGCTGCCTCCATGGGGCTTGGTCTGTGTCGGCCACACTGGGTCCCATGTGAGACACCAGAGCTTGTCCTGAGGGGATGGGGAGCAGGGAGGAAGAGGGTGTGGCTGCCCTCTCTGAGGCAGGGTGTAACTGGGGGCTCCCTTGGGGCCTGCCATCTCCTGAGTCCTCTGGAGTTGGCTGGAGGGTGGATGTGAGGTTGGAAGGGGTGGGCTGGGCCTTGCTGGGGAGGAGGGAGGAGAGAGCAGCTGTGAGAAGACAGTGCTGGCTTTGCAGACCTCATTAGGTTGGCTGGTGGGGAGCGCTCGGTGGGAGAAGGGCTCTAGCCTGGCGCTGACCGTGCCGTCTCTGCGGGCAGGGCTGAGAACTACTGGTGGCGAGGGCAGAACACGCGGACGCTGTGTGTGGGGCCCTTTCCTCGCAACGTGGTGACCTCCGTGGCTGGCCTGTCAGCGCAGGACATCAGCCAGCCCCTGCAGAACAGCTTCATCCACACAGGGCATGGGGACAGCGACCCCCGCCACTGCTGGGGCTTCCCTGACCGCATCGATGAGTGAGTACCCAGCCCGGACCCCACTCCCTCCCGGTCCTGCCCTGGGGACTCCTGGCCGAGTCCTTCCCTGCCAGCCGGGAACAAGTCTCGTATTCCCTCCAGCAGAGGGGCTCGGGGTCCCATGAGGCAGGACTCACAAGGGACACCTCCTGAGGCACCTCGGCCCCCAGCCTTTTCCCAAGCTGCCATGCTTTTCATCAGTGGGACTGTGACCCCTCCTTGAAAGCCTCTGAACCCAGTGCTAGGCACAGCGAAACAGTGCTAGGCACAAGGACCTCTGCCCCTGGCTGCACCAGGAACCTGAGAAGCAGCTTCCTTTATGCCCTGGAGATGGCACCCCTGCCACTCCTTGGTGTTCACACCAGCCTGCATCCTGACCTGGCAGCATGGGGCTGCCGTCCCCTCCTTCCTGCATGGCTGCCAGCTGCCGGGCATGCATGGTGTGTGGTCAGAGTGAGAATTTTGGGCCCACAGTGCAGCCACACCGGGAGCTCTGCATCCCCTTTGAGGGTGCCGTAAGAGACCAGAGCTTGTCCCGAGGAGATGGTAGGGACCCAGGGCCCACACACGCACACTTACGTGTTGTCCCCTGGGACCTTCTCCTGTGGGGTGCTTCACCCATGCCCAGGCAGTGCTAGGCTGAGCAGAAGTGCCAGCGGTGCTCTCCCTTCCTCTGCCTGTGCTCCTCCGAGCCTTGCTCATTGAAGCTCTTGCCCTTACTCTTCCAGAAGTGAGTGCGGGGTGCAGGTGCCACTGTTTGTGCCCGGCGGCTGGGGTGGCGAGGTGCCGCCCGTGGTGTCCCCGCCCCGCCACACTTCTGCTGCAGCTGAGGGGAACAGGGTGGTGTTGGTGACCCTTGACCCTGCTCTGTCTGTGCCACTCCGGTCTCGATCTGTGGGTGGATCAGGACGGGTGGAATGGGAGTCGGAAGCCCAGACCTCGATCCACTTGGGCTCTCAGATGCAGGGTCTCAGACACAAGCCCCTCACGTGCTGAGGCTGCCTCCTGCCTGACCGCCGGGGGAAGCCCGGCCTGCTCCCAGAGGCTTCCACCTCCAACCTGGCTCTCTCTGCAGACTGTACCTGGGGAACCCCATGGACCCCCCTGACCTGCTGAGTGTGGAGCTGAGCACCTCCCGGCCCAGCCAGCATCTGGGAAGGGTGAAAAGTAAGCACCGCTCCGTGGTGTCCCCAGGCCGTCCCAAGACTGCTGTTCTGCTCTGGGGACAGCTGGGCCCAGGTGGCAGCAGGCGGGACAGCCGTGTCCCTGGCTCCGGCCGGGCGTGGGGTGGCTGAAGAGAGGCAGCTGTATCCGCTGAGGTGGGCATCCTCGCTGCCCTTTGTTGCCCTGCCCACCTCAGCTTCCCTCTCTCCTTCCTCCCTCCCCTAACCCTACTCTCCTCTCCTGAGCCTCAGCCAGGGCCTCCTCCGTGTCCTGTGCCCGTGCCTGTCGTTTGGGGCACGGCTGACCCCATCCTGCCGCCGCCTCCCATTTGTGTTCGGGGTTGTACAGTTGCTCACTCCTACTCACTGCGCACTCCCCCCGCCCGCCTCCGCCTGGCTCTGTCTCGTCCTCTCTTCTGTCCTCCCCCTGGGTCTGTCTCCCTCCCTGTTCTCTGTCCTCTCCCTGGGTCTGTCCCCCTCCCTGTCCCGTCTTCTGTCCTGTCGGCCCTGTCTCTCTCCTGACCTCTTCCCCATCCGGCCCTGTCTCCCGCCCTGTCCTGTCCGGCTCATTCCCTCTCCCTGCCTGTCCGCATGGCCTCTCTTGCAGGGGAGCCTCCACCTCGCCCTCCTCAGCCTGCCGTCTTTACTCCGAGTAAGTGGGGCTGCTCAGGATGCCCCCGTCCCCCTCCCCTCTCTCCTCTCCTCCCCTCCCAGAAGGTACACAAGCTGGGGGAGGCGGCTGCTGCTGTGAGCTTTCGCTGCTGGCCTGGCGTGGCCTGCCTGCCTACCCCGGGACCCTCAGGGCCTGGCTTGGGGACGTCTCGGCTCGCTGTGCCGTGGCCTGGCCCTGCCTGCTCCCTTCCTCTGGGATCTAGGGGGTTTGCTCAGCAGCTCGGTCTCCCCAGAAGGTCTTGCCGCTCGTGCCAGCTCTGATGGTGCGCTTTGTAGAGCTGGGGAGACTTCGCGGGGCCCAAGTGCAGGCGTGGGGGTCTCATGTCCTGGAGGGAGTGTCAGAGAGGCAGGGCTGGGTGTTGCCTGCGCTGCTGTAGAGGAGGCCAGGGGAGCAACAGCCCCAGAGGGCCAAGGGAAGGGGGACACAGACACAGCTGGTCGCTTCTGTCTGAAGGATGGGGTGCGCTGGGCACCTGGCAGCCAAGGGGCGGCTGACTGGGGGAATTGGCAGTGAGGCCTGTGGGGTACTTGGCTCCCTTCCTCATGTTCTGCCCTCTTGCATCCTCTGCCCTGCCTGACTCGGTGTCTCTGGGGTCCCCCTTTCCATCCAGAGCCCACCTACGACCCTGTGAGTGAGGACCCAGACCCCCTGGCCAGTGACTTCAAGAGGCTGGGTCTGCGAAAGCCGGGCCTGCCCCGGGGGCTGTGGCTGTCGAGGCCCTCAGCCCGGGTCCCAGGCACCAAGGCAGGCCGTGGTGGGGGCGGTGAGGTCACCCTCATCGACTTCGGCGAGGACCCCGTGGTCCCCGCCCCGCGGCCCTGCGCACCTTCCCTGGCGCAGCTGGCCATGGATGCCTGCTCCTTGCTGGACAAGACTCCTCCTCAGAGCCCCACCCGGGCCCTGCCGCGCCCCCTGCACCCCACTCCCGTGGTGGACTGGGACGCACGCCCGCTGCCCCCACCCCCTGCCTATGACGATGTGGCCCAGGATGAGGACGACTTCGAGGTCAGCTCCATCAACAGCACACTGGGGGGCTCTGAGCTGGGCCCTGGGCCCTGCCGGGGTGAGACCAATCACGCCTTTGTGCCTGAGCCCGAGCGGCACCCCCTGGCACTGGAGGACAACTTGTTCCTGCCCACCCGGAGTGGGGGCCCACCGCCCAGCTCGGCACAGACTGCCCAGATCTTCCAGGCACTGCAGCAGGAGTGCATGCGACAGCTGCAGGTCCCCACGGGCTCTCTGGTCCCCTCGTCTGGCCCCGTGGGTGATGACAAACCCCAGGTGCCACCTCGGGTGCCCATCCCCCCGAGGCCCACACGCCCCAGGGTTGAGCTGTCTCCAGCCCCCTTGGGAGAGGAGGAGCTGGGCCGCTGGCCTGGACCTGTGTCCCCTCCTCGGGTGCCTCCCCGGGAGCCCCTGTCCCCGCAAGGCTCAAGGACCCCCAGCCCCATGGTGACGCCTGGCAGCTCCCCGCTGCCATCCCGGCTCTCGAGCTCACCCGGGAAGACCATGCCTACCACCCAGAGCTTTGCCTCCGACCCCAAGTATGCAGCCCCTCAAGTGATCCAGGCTCCTGGCCCCCGGGCAGGGCCCTGCATCCTGCCCATTGTACGCGATGGCCGGAAGGTCAGCAGCACCCACTACTACCTGCTGCCCGAACGCCCTCCCTACCTGGAGCGCTACCAGCGCTTCCTCCGGGAGGCTCCAAGTCCCGAGGAGCTGGCCCTGCAGTCCTTGCCACTGCTGCCACCGCCCAGCACCCCAGCCCCCGCAGCCCCCACCGCCACTGTGCGGCCCATGCCCCAGGCCGCCCCCGACCCCAAGGCCAACTTCTCTACCAACAACAGCAACCCTGGTGTGCAGCCACCTGCCTCACAGAGGGGCTGCCCAGGGGATGGGCCAGCGGACAAGGTCCAGATGGTGAGTGGGGCTGGGCTGTGGGGTGGGTAGGGCCAAGGGACCCAGCGGGCTGGGCATGGTGCTGATGGGCGCTGTGCCCAGCTGCAGACCATGGTGCACGGGGTGACCACAGAGGAGTGCCAGGCCGCCCTGCAGTGCCACGGCTGGAGCGTGCAGAGGGCTGCCCAGTATCTGAAGGTACCATCGCCACCCACTGCTCTGACATCCAGGGCCCCGAGACTGCTGCTGCCCTCTCCCTGCTCTGACCCCCTGCCCTGCCCTGCCTGGCATGAGGCCCCTCAGCCTTGGGCCCCACGGCGCTGCTCTCCATGCCCCCAGGTGGAGCAGCTCTTTGGGCTGGGGCTGCGGCCGAGATTGGAGTGTCACAAAGTGCTGGAGATGTTTGACTGGAACCTGGAGCAGGCTGGCTGCCATCTCCTGGGCTCCTGTGGCCCTGCCCACCACAAGTGAGGACCTGCTTGCGGGGGACGCAGTCCCAGTGCTGGTTGGGAACGGTTGCTCCCAGGCGCTGGGGAGTCAGGGACTGGGCCTCGGGGAGAGGGGTCGAGCTTCATGCACCTCCACCACATCCCCTGCCCTTCAGGCCCTGCAGTCTCTTTTCGCGTTTCCGGTTAAGGCAACACTGAAGTGCTGAGGCCTTGGTACTCACCTATCTTCCCAGCAGTCAGGAGGCTGAGGCAGGATTGCTGGAGCCCAAGATTTTGAGACCGGCCTGGGCGACATAGCAAGGCCCTGTTTCAGCACATGCGTACATACATGAGTATGTGCATGCATGTGAACACAAGTGCACATACATAAACTTAATGCCCACTTAAAGGGGTGTTGCAGCTCCCCGAGTCCTGTTACCTCTTTCCTATACTGTGCATATACGTGTATGTGTATGTACGTGTATGTACGTGGACACGTAAGTAACACGGAACAGTGCATAAATACACAGGTGAAACTTCTGTCACAACGCGGGCCCACGGGGGACCCCGGCTCTATGGGCCTCACCTGCTGGGTGGGCCTGGGGCCCAGTGCCCAGTGCCCACTGCGCCGTCCAGGCAGACGTGATGGGAAAGCGGAGTGTGGGACGCGCTGTCGCCCGCACAGGTCCGTCAGTGTGAGGTGTTGGCTCCCACTGTCCTCACCCCATTTGCATCCAGATAAGCAGTGGCTTTCTTGTCCCTGTGTCCTTGGGCCCCGACAGTAGTGCTGCTCTCTAACGCAGAAAGCCATTCGGGGATGATGAGCGCCGGTCACTGCCTAGAGCTGGGGATGTTCGGCCTCTGCCTGGCACCGCCAGCCTGTGCTCACGGGACTTGGGCTCTCCCTGCGCAGGCGCTGAGTGCATCTGGAGGCTGAGGGTCTGCCCTGAAGAAATGATGTGAGCTGTCCATGTGCCGGGGTGGGGAGGGCCCAAGGGCCCGCCCAGGCTGGAGGACCCGCTGTCGCCAGTCGTTCCCAGTGACCAAGAGAGGCCCAGGCGGGTGCCCACCCTGCCCATCTCCTTTGCCCGGTGCTGTCCCTGCTCACTTTGGTTCAGTCCTCGGTGCTCCCAGCAGGAGGTGGGAAGGGCCCTGTGAACCGGCCAGGATGTCCGAGGCTGGGCCAGGCCCTGCCCTGGGGACCAGACTGAGAGAAGCCGGCATGACCCAGTGCAAGATGTGTGCCCACGCAGAGAGGCGCCCACACCCGCATGTCCTCATCGGGGCTGGGCACTGTCCGGGAGCCCCGCAGGCAGGGGTCGGGCAGCGTGTAACTGCGCCTGCTGCGGGCTGTGGACGTGTTAGGGGCTTGGCCCACCTTAGGATCTTGTGCCTGGAAACAGCCAGGATGGCTCAGGAAGTGGAGAAGAGGTGCCAGACTGTTTTCTGGCAGGGACCAGGGCCCAAGGCCCCAGGGTTGGAAGGAGACCAAGGGGCAGCTGCCCTAGAGGGACACCAGTGCTTCCTGTCTGCACCCAGCTCTTCCTCTGCGCCATTGTTTCCCACCAGCCTCTGTCGCCAAAGCTGCTGCCCCAGCTATCAATATCTGCTTCTTTCAGAGAAATAAAGTTAGTTTCTATTTTATGCTACTCATGGTGCCTGCTTGTTTCCTTGCCTGTTGGTGAGCAGGATAGCACCACCTGTCGGCAGAGGGAGGAAGTGCAGGCCTGGAGGCCCTACGAGGCCTACCTTTGCTCTGGATTTCTGTAAGGCAGGGGAGTGTATGCTGTGGAAAGCACAGGAGTCGGTTCTGGGGCTCAGCCAGAGGCTTTAGTAACAAGAAAGGATTAGTATAGAAATAGCTGGACGTAGTGGTACTCCTGGAAAATCATTGCCCAATAAATCACTGGAGGCCAAGCACTGCTGGACCAGGGCTATGGGTACTTAAAGGCACTCAGCCCAGGGAAACTTGGAGGAAAAGGAACAGGTTTACCCATCTTCTGGAGCCAGATGGGAACCAGATTGTATCTAATGCCAGCAATAGGGCCTAGTTTGGTGAGTTCATACACCAAATCCCACACCCAAATCCAGAGAAGCCAGTGGCCACCATTTAATATTCTAATATTTTAATTTTTTTGTGGTTTTGAGACAGGCTCTCACTATGTAGTTAGGCTGGCTGTGGACTCGCTGTGTAGCCCAGGTTGGCCTCACATTTGCGGGGATCCTCCTGCCTCAGCCTTCCGAGTGCTGGGATGACAAGCATTCGCCATCACACCTGGGTTGCCCCTACTTCTTCCTACACTAAGTACCTCACATAAGCGGAACCTTAGAGTATTTGTCCTCCTGAGGCTGCCTTACTTCATTCACTTTGTTGTTCTTCAAGGTGCAACTTTGTGGTTGCATGGATCAGTCTTTGCTTCCCTTTGAGGGCTGCATAGTATGTCATGTGACACATATGTCGTGACGAATGTTACGTTTACCCACATGTCTACAGGTGGCCTCCGCCTTTCGGCTTTTGTGAACAGCGCTCCTATGAACATGGGTGTTCAAATATCAAAATTCTCCTTCCAGTTCTTTTGGGCATACCCAGAAGGAGCACTGCTGGATCGAATGATAATTGCACTTTTGGATTTTTGAGGATGTAGCATACTGCATTCCGTAGTGACTAGCGGTTTGCAGCTCCACCAGCCGCGCATGGCATTTTGATTCACTGCGTCCTTCCAGCACTGGTCCTTTTCTGATGGTGTGAGGTGGGGTCCCATGTGGCTTTAATCTGCATTTCTGTGGTGATTAGTGACGCTGAACGTGTTGTGGTGTGCATGCCGACTATTTGTATATTTCTGGAGAAACATTTATTAAAGTCCACCTTTTTGCGGGGTGGAGGGTATTGAACCCAGGAACTACAACCCCAGCCCTTTTTTATATTTTTGTATTTTGAGACAGGGGTCTTGCTAAATTGTCCAGGCTGGGCTTAAACGTTTTTTGTTTTGTTTTTTTTTTTGTTGTTGTTTTTTTGAGACAGGGTCTCACTATGTGCTTGAGACTGACATGGAACTATGTAGCCCAGGCTGGTCTTGAACTCACTGTGATTCTCCTGCCTCAGCCTCCCAAGTGCTGGGATTACAGGCATGCGCCACCATGACCTGGCTGGGTTTAAACTTGTAATTGTCCTTCCTCAGCCTCCCAAGTGCTAGGATTACAGGTGTGCGCCACCATGCTTGACCCTTTGGTTTTGTTTGTTTTGAGGTGGTCTTGCTATGTAGCCCAGGCTGGCCTTGAACTTGCAGAGATCCTCCTGTCTCAGCCTCCCAAATGCTGGGATCACAGGTGTGTGCCAACACACCCGGCGTCTATGTTTTAATTTACACTTCCTGACTGGTATCTCATCCCTCACTGCAGGTATCACCTCCAGGGTTCCGGCAAGCGCGCGCGCGCACACACACACACACACACACACACACACACACACACACACGTCTCCAGCCTGGCCGCAGCCCGCCAGTTGCTCTGTCCACAGCAGCATACCTGGTCCCAGCCTGGCCTCCTGACCCGGCTCAGTCGGCTCAGACCAGCGGCCTTGGGAAGCCACCCCGCCCCAAGTGAGGCCTGAAGCCATGGCTTGGGTGGCAGGGCCAGTCTGGCAGTTACCCCAACAACTGCACCACCCCAACCCCACACAAACCCCTCAGTCCGCACTCGGAGGCCCTGCACCCCCTCTTCCTCGCAGAGGCTTTGTCCTGGGGACGGTGCCGGTTACTAAGAGACAGGAAGTAAACAGTCCCGGTAAAGGTGTTGCCACAGCCCTGCTCAGCTGACTCCACCAGGCGGGGAACGCCGCACTGGGACGAGGTTCCCAGGGTCCCTGTGTACCTGAAGCATGCGGAGCAGTCATAGGTGTCCCGTGTGCGCACCGAAGTGACCACCGTTAGGGATGTGGCCCCTTACTGAGGAGACCCTGCTGCCAGCGGTGAGATTTTCCAGATGAGTCGAGTTCCTGAAAGTTCAGATTGTCTTAAAACTGCCAACAACTACTTTTGTACCAGGGGTGCAGGGGCAAACCGGTACTCCCAGCGTTCTGGAAGGCTGAGGCAGGAGGATCACAAATTGTAGCCAGCCTAGGAAACTCAAGAGACCCTATCTCTAAATATAAATTTAAAAAGGGCTGGGCCTGGGGCTCAGGTTAAAGGCCCTGGGTTCAGTCTGCACTACTGCGGCAAACAAAGCTGTGCTTTTAGCATAGAGTCCAAGACCTGCACTCACCGTGCCTTGCGGCCCGGATGTTTAGGGCCCCGCCCTTTGCCCCAGTACCCGCTTGGCCAATGGGACTCCTGAAAACAGCCCCGGAACTTCCCCAACTGTCCCCCAGGGGGCGCCATTGTCCTCACTAGGAACCCTTATCTCATAGGGAAAGCACCGTGCTTAAGACTTTACTTGCTGGCTATCTAATCCCCCTAATAAACTCCACGAGTGACTGTTCTCTTCCTGGGGCTAAGAAAATACGCTTCAGAGAATATCAACAGTTCGTCCAAGGTCACACAGCGAGTGTGGGAACATGAGAATCTGGACCCAGCTGGCCTTCACCAAAGCCCGTGTCCCCTGCGGGTCGCCAGGTGTCAGCAGGGTTGGGCGGGGGAGTGTGGTCCTGAGTCTCCGTCTGGGACCCGCCCTCTCAGGTGGTCGTGGTAGCTGAGGAGTGGGGGGCCTGACCAGCTGGGCCCCCAAGTGACTGCCCCCCTCGACCCCAGACAGCCGCACAAAGACCTGCGGCCAGAGGGGTGCTGCGGTGTCCCCAGGGGGTAAGTGCCGTGTCCAGCTTAGCCTACCAATGCCCTACGGGTGTCGTTTTCTGGCATCCGGCTGGATATTCACGCCTACCTTTTCCTGGGACAGGGAAATGGGAAGGAAGCGTCCTTTAAAAACATGGGTGCCGCTCTGGGCGTGGTGGTGCACGCCTGTAATCCCAGCACTCGGGAGGCTGAGGCAGGAGGATCGCTGTGAGATCGAGACCAGCCTGGACTACATAGTGAGTTCCAGGTCAATCTCAACTACGTAGTGAGACCCTGTAAAAAAAAAACACAACAAAACAAAACATGGATGCAGCCTGGGGAGGCTGAGGCAGGAAAATCGACAGTTCCAGGCCAGCCTTGCAACTGAGTGACTTAGCAAGATGCTGTCTCAAAACAAATAAATAAATAAAATTAGAGGTTTCCAAATGGGACTAAACACCCCAGGAGTTTGTCAGAAGGAGCAACTGGGAGAGCTGCAGGTGGCCAGGCAAGTCTGAGCTGGAGAGGAGGAGGAGGGAGGGAAGATGGAGCGGAGTGCCCTGGACAGTCGGCTGTGTTGTTCACCGAGGGTTCCTCCTGTGTCAGCTCCAGACCCCTTTTCCCTCACTGTCCTCGGATGGGAGACCAATGGGATGTTAAATGCGGGGCTGACACCGTTCCAGCCCCAGGGGTGATGGGGAGGACTCAGGGTCACACTGAGTGGCGGGATGGCCCTGAGGGATGAGCTTAGCACAGCCAGAGGGAACCCACAACAGGGAGGGAGAGGAAGAAGGCAAAGAGACAGGAAACAGGAAGAGGAGGCCTTCGGAGAGGATGGAGGAGTGATGTCAGGGCAGGGAGGGAAGAGTGAAGGAATTTCTTCACAGAGGAGGAGGTGGAGCAGAGGCTAGGGCTAGGGCCACCGCTGACTTCTGCAGTCTTCTGCATGACTTCAAAAACCCTTGCATGGTGCAGTGGCACACATCTTGGGAGGCTGAGGCAGGAGGATCGCCCTGAGTTTGAGTCCAGCCTGGGCTACACAGTGAGTATAAGACCAGTCTGAACTACATAGCAAGACCCTGTCTCAAAAAATAATTAATAAAAAAAAAATCCTTGCCCAGTGTGGTGGGGCACACCCATAATCCCAGCACTCCGAAGCTGAGGCAGGAGGATCACCAGGAGCTCAAGGCCAGCCTGGGCTACATAGCAAGATCCTATCTCAAAAACACCAGTAGAACAAATGGGAAAAACGAAGCATGACAGTGTGTGACTGCAGTGGGTGGCCACGTGGCCTTCTGTGGAGGTGACAGGGTGACAGGGCAGCAGGAGTGCAGTGAGAGGTGGGCGCATGCTCCCACCCCTGCCCCAGGAAGCAGGGCCAGGCATCGGAGCCTCACCAGGGCCGGCGGCCACTGCGGGCCAGGCTGGGCAGCTCCCAGCTGGGCTCTGAGCAGGCAGACACTCTCCCTGCCGTGACTTCTCTGATATTTATATATTTATATTTCTTTTTTGTGTGTTTTGTTTTTGTTTTTACGAAGCATGACAGTGTGTGACTGCAGTGGGTGGCCACGTGGCCTTCTGTGGAGGTGACAGGGTGACAGGGCAGCAGGAGTGCAGTGAGAGGTGGGCGCATGCTCCCCCCCCTGCCCCAGGAAGCAGGGCCAGGCATCGGAGCCTCACCAGGGCCGGCGGCCACTGCGGGCCAGGCTGGGCAGCTCCCAGCTGGGCTCTGAGCAGGCAGACACTCTCCCTGCCGTGACTTCTCTGATATTTATATATTTATATTTCTTTTTTGTGTGTTTTTTTTTTGTTTTTATTTTTTTGAGACGGGGTCTCACTATGTAGTTGAGACTGACCTGGAACTCACTATGTAGCCCA